CAAATTGTGTGGCCAATGTGACACTACGTATAAAGTTGGGTGGTTATTGGTTAATTTAATGCTATTCCATTTACAAGAAATGATATCAAATACTAAAAGAAATAAGACGATGGAGATTTCAGGTCCGTTTTTAGGACTTCTACTTTTGCTTCTTGTAAAAGAAGTTTAGAAGGAAATTACCTTAGACGAACTTTATTTAAAAGTTTTTCTAATTAGACAAAACACTTCTAGAAAATTATCCAAATAATTTAAAAGCAACTTCTTAATCTGAAAAACAACTTTTAAGTTTTAAAAACTTCCAAACAAGCCCTTCAGAGATCTCCCTAATTGGAAAATGAAGGATTTCCTTCACTATGGTTAAAAATTTAAAATTATTCAATTTGTTCCTCTCATTATTATTTATTGACCAAGATAAAAGAGAACATCTTAAGGCCTAAGAATTATATAACACATCGATTAAAGATCGATGAAACGAACAAACAGCATGTAAAAGTTTAAATTTCTCCTCTAAATAAGGTTATACATTTTAAGATGAAATATCAAGAAATAAGACATTGGCACACTTTTTTGTTCAAGTGTTACCATGACCTGGTAATGGACAAGAACGCCTTCTTGACAGTCTTCATTCGGGAAAAACTCCCAAATCTCCTTGAGCTTCCATCTCCAGTGCCGAAACACGACGTTTCGGTTGGAGAATTCGCTCCCTTGTCAACCGTATCCTCGTCTAATCCAGAACGGGGTGCTGATCTTAAATGCCGCCTTGTAAATGACCTATTCATTGGTGTCGAGGTCAGTGAATACGAGGAAGAACGTGATGATGAAGACGGAGATGATGAAAATGATGATGAAACGTTCATTTTCTTGGAACCAAAGATGGAGTGAAAAACATGGGACTTTGAAAGCTTGTGCATGGACTTCATTTGGGGACTCAATTGATAAGAAGGTGGCGGAGAAAGCGGCGGAAGAGGGGCGTCCGAAATTGACTGTTTCGGGGTACCGGGCTGAGACTCCCACATGAACGGCACAGCACCGGCTGCGCCACCGTAGTACAAGATTCTAAAAGAAGCCTCCCCATTCGAATTTTCCCTGGATAAGAAATTATCATTCAGCTTAATTTCCATGAATTTTGGAGTATAACCACAACCCCAATGGCCAGATATCATTTCAGAATTTGCTTTTGCCATCTGCTTATGGGAATTGGGAACTGGAAAAATGACTAATTTAAGATCTCAATGCAGCAGTAAACTAGAAGAGAGAGAATATATAGCACACAACCCAAGCAATATGTTTGGAAAAGCCTTTCAAAATTACTATTCATAAAAAAAGAATAAGTGATTGTATTAATCAATTTTGAAAATGGAAAATTAAGATTTAGGTAAAGTGATTTTGGGTCTCTAAACTCTAATATTCAAAAATGAAGTTTTCTGTTCATAATCTATTTAAATTTGTGAATCTAGATTCATACGCGGCCGAAATTATTAATACAGACGTTAATATCACGTGCGATTTCCATGCGTCATAAAACTAGACAATAAGTATCCTATCATTATTAAAAATAATAAATTACTTGAAAATAAGTCAATGTAATGTAACTTTTTGAGCTTAGCCACCGCTTATTGACCTCACCACTTAAGTTTGGAAAATGGTAAATTCATTGAATGAATTGATCCATTGATATTTTCCATATCCTGACATGATTAAAAATAAGAAATTACTTAAAATTAAGTTTATGTTACCTTTTGAGCTTAGCCACCGCTTATTGACTCAAACTTTTAAGTATGGAAAATGGATATTAGTGGACAATTAATTAATATAGTGTTGACTTGAGACCGTCCAAAAGTGGCCAAATTGCATTATTAAGCAGAACATTAGTCAACATATGCATAAATACGATTTAATACGTTAGGCCAGTTGCTAGATTTTTTTCTTTTTTCTTTTTTGTGTGTGATAATTAGGAAAAATATTTAATTTTATTACTAAATTAAATTTATTGCCAAACCCAAAGTTAATGATTTTTACATATAATGACATTTCTTAACATAATGACGAGAAAAGAGTAATTATGGGAAATTATGTGCACGTACGTTGGAAAAATAGTATTAAAAATGTTGTTGTAAAGTAATATAATATGTTACCTTTTTTTCAAGTTATTCACTAATTCTCTCAATTCTTTCAGTCCCTAAATTTTTTTATAGCAGACAACTTCTTTTGTATTAAATTGTATATATAAAGAAAAGTGATACTTGCAATAAATAATTCATGTACTGTACATTTCAATCAGATTACAAAAGTAATTATTTATCTCATAAGAGACCCAACTTTTCAAATGTCAATTTATTTGTCTCTAATCATAAGTGTGACATTTTATCGTGAATCTTGTAACTTATTTGAATGCTATTACATTTTATTCTATATCACCCTTAAAAGTCACAAATCATGCGTGTTGGGCTGAAAGACTTCCTTTAAGTCTGAAATTAATACAAAATTTCAGGGAGCATGTTTACACTAGCAGAATTGGTTTGAAGAAGAAAACAAATACAGGAAAAACCAGCAGAACAAATTTGAGAAACAGAAGCAATAAACCAGCAGAAGGAAGAACAGAAGAACGAATTTTGGAACATGAAGAATGTCTTCTTCAACCTTGATTTATCCACAAGACTTTACAGGATTTACAATCTAAAATATTCAGAAAGAATTTATACAGATTTACAAGAGTTCACTACTCTATCTCATCTCACTTTCTCTCATTCTCGAGTTCCTTTATTCATACAACAAATGCAGCTATTTATAAATACAAAGAGATATCAAAATTAGTTATTAACTACCTAATTAACTAAGGCTCCATATAGTTGAAAATTCCAACAAAATCAGTTGATCAAACCAACAACAGAACAGCTCCTCTTGCAATCGATTTTATCCAGTGGCTGAGGTATCAAGAAACCTGAATTTTAAGGAATCAGATTCTTACAATCTCCACTTTGATTTCTTGAAGTTCCAATCTCAATTTCACTACCTTGCAGGATATAGATGCCTTGTTGTAGGACTCCCTTCATGATCACCACAGAATTTTCCTTTACATTTAACACTCCACCTTGAGCTTTGTACACACAACCGGATTTGTCAAGTGCTCCAAGTGAGATTAGATTTCTTTTCAGTCCTGGTACATGCCTCACTCCACCTAGAACTTTTGAAGATCCATCCTACATTTTTTTCTTGATAGAACCAACACCAATCACTTCACATGTGTTGTCATTTGCTAATAGCACTTTGCTATCATCAACCGGTTTGTAATCAATGAAAAGTTCCTTTCTTGGTGTCATATGAAATGGGCAACCTGAGTCCATTATCCAAACCTTGCTATGACTTGCTCTTGTTGTAGTAAGGACTTCAACCTCTTCACAATCTCCAAACACATTAGCACAATCTCCTTCTTGCTTGTTGTTTCCTTACTTCATCCACCTCTTGTTTCTTTGTGGACAACACTTCTTGAAGTGCCCTTCTTGATGACACCTCAAGCATATTTTCCTTTCCTTTCTACCTTGCCCATACAGAACTTCTCCATTCCTCTTTGCAAGATTACAAA